AGTGGGAGGCAAGCGACAAGAGGGTCACCAAGAACGCGTTCGCGCCCAGGCACTAATGTAGGGCCGCCAGCCTGACCACGGACGCTCACCCCCGCATCACCGAGGCCGAAGGTCTACAAAGATGCAGCGCCCCTCTGGTCCAAGATGGGCTGGAACATACATGATGAGGGATGCGTTCTTCCACTTGCACGTTGAGCTGCAGCTCGGCCTACATAAACCAGCATATGACGAGGGACGCGTTCCATCACTCACGCGCTTGAGCTACAGCTCGGCCTGGGCCAGTCGCGACCCGAGCACGCGACGAGGAGAAGCATGTTCTCACCATCGTCCGCCACTAGCTACCATCGCCCCCCCTCATTATCGCCTGCCTCGCCATCGAATAAAGATCGCCCCCCTCCTTATCGACCTGCTCCCATTATCGCCTGCATCATCGTCGCATTCTGGCCCGCACAACCGCCCCTGCAAGTAGCGGGATCAAGAGGCCGAGGCCATGCTTCAGGTTGCGCATGCACTTGCGCTGCATTTGCCGTACAAACAGTACAAGCCTATACTGTGGACATGTTACTGCAGCGCCGCATGCACGCGGCGAGCTATGCGAGGTCGCCGCCACAGCCTGGCTCGCACTTCCTACCCACCTCCAGATAGCGACATCATGACTCCGAGCGCATTCAAGACGTCAAGATCAGGTTGGAGACCAATCAGGTCTGCATAGCCACCCCCGCCCACACTCACAAAATTAATATCGGCAAGTCCGTCGGACAATTCCTCTTGGGACAAGACCTTCGGGCAGATCCATCGGACACTGACTGCGCGGCCCTTCAGACTCCGTCGCGTAGCCATCTAGGCTCGAGCCAACGTCGCGGTTTCAGCTACTGCTCGGAATCACGCGCCGATGCCACGCCACGCCCGTCACCACGCGGCGCGGACGCACGGCGCCGCGACAGCGCCCAGGCCGCGGGCGACGCCAAGGAGCGCACGCAGGTGAAGATCGACGAGCAGAATGGCCACATCAAAGCGAAGGACAAAATCAAAGGTGGTATCTGACCAGAAGAAGAAGGCCAAGCTGCCCCACAAGGAGGGCCCGGGCTTCGCAAGCAGAAGCAGCGCAGCATGAACATGACCATCGGCGTCATTTAGGATGGGACGAAGACCCACACAAGAGTCTTCGGTAAAATGCACTAGCACTGCCGGGCGCAGGCTGCACCCGCGCGAGAAGTTCACGACCAAGAGGATCGCGACAGTGCACATCGAGCACCTCGAGCCGCCGAAGGATCAGGTGGACAAGGAAACGCAGACGTGCCCGAAGCTCCTCCAGTCTCTGCCGAAGAACCCCAAACTCCCGAAGCCGCCAACGGCATCCAAGGAGGACCCCCCGACCCGCCGACCCCCCGCGCACCAGACGTCTACGAGCACGAGACCCAGGACATGAAGATGGCGGACAGTTCGCAGAGCATTACACAGCCAGGAGGAAAGTTATAACAATATCGACAAGACGATCATCCTGAATGATCTGCAGACGTCAACGCCCAAAGAGGATCATTGAGTGATACTCGCCTTTCAACATTGGCAGCGCGCGCAAGCGTGCACCACGGGCCAGGCCACTGACACGCCACACTTTGGCTTGCGCGCCCAGTGGCCGCATTGGGGGGCGGACGCCGCATACTGCCTGGGTGCTCTTCCAAGTTGCCCCATTGCAGAGCCGCCGGCGCGGGCGGCCCCACGATCTGCCGCGCGGCTTCGCCCCCACCAGTCGACTGGCTAACATGCAACGCGCAATGCAGACGAGACGTTTTCCCGTAACATCGACAAGCGGGTGTCACTTGATGCGACGGGCCCCGCCTAGTCTGATTCTACATCTTTTCGGCTTCCATCCCCGCGCAACTTTGGCTATAAACTCTGTTCACGGGGACGGGCAATCCTGCCTAGGTAATGGGGTTTCTGCGCGACCCCCCCGTCTTTTAGCGCGCCGCCCTGTGGGTCCTATGGAACGCGTGAGACTTGCACCCCTGTGGGACTTGTGCGACTTGTGGGACCTGCGAGACATGCGGGACCTAGGCGACTTGCGGGATCCGCGGGCTTGGCCGGACGCGTGCGACCTGCGAGACTTGCGGGACCTGCGGGGCCTGTAAAACCTGGGGGGCCCGTGCAAAGTCGGCCTTGTTAGGACCTGCGAGAGACCTGCGGGCCTTGCGGGACCTGCAAAGTTTGCGGGGCCCGCGGGACCTGCGCGACCTGTGGCACCTGTGGGGCACGTGGGACCTGCGGGACCTGCGAGACACGTGGGACCTGCGAGACCTGCGGGGCCTGCGAGAATTGCGCGACCTGCGAGGCCTGGGGGGCCTGCGGGACTGACGAGACCAGCGGGGCCTGCGAGGCGCTGCCCAACGAGCCGCCTTGACGACCCGGCGGGGGGCGGGTCCAATCATGTACATTCACACACGGGGCGCAGCCGAAGTTGCCCCGCAATCCCACTCAACGATCGGGCGGGCGCGCGTTTACTCTGTAAACTCATACAGAGAACGCACTTCGCGTGAAGTGGCGCGCCCCGGCGCGCCCACTCCACGACTCGGTTGCCCCCCGCCCTATTTCTCCACGCGCGAAACGCGGGAACGCAAAGTGGGCACGCCAGGGCACGCCACTTCACGCGAGGTGCGCCCCGCGCTTGACTTCACACGCTAAACCTGCCACCGCTCCATCGTTAGGCGGGGCCCCTGGGCGACGGGGCGCGCGCCCCGCATGTGAACCTGCACAGTGAGCCCGAGCCCACCCGCGTCCTGTCGTTTCACAGTTTCGCCAGACATCGAAAATTCGCCGCCATGAGTGGATTTTCACCATGAGCGCCCAATTGGGAGTTGCGTCCGACGACGAGGGGCGGGCCCTGGGCCCGAGGCCCAGAACGCAATCGTTATCGCCAGGAACGGCGGGCGACGACGACGACGACCACGGCGACGTCGACGACGACGACGACGAAGACGACGACCACGACGACGGCGACGACGACGACGACGACGACGACGACGACGAAGATGACCACGACAACGGCGACCACGGCGACCACGACGACCACGACGCAGACGACATGCGTTCTCGCCCTCTCACTCCCCCGCCGAGACATCATCAGCATCCTCGCTCGCCTCCCCCTTCTAATCCTCCTGCCCCTCCCCCCCTCCTCGTCTCTCTCCCCCTTCGCATCTTCGCGGCCCTCCCTCGCGCCCCCCCTGGCCCCCCTGGGGAGCCACGACGGACCGCGGCAGCCGCCCGGGTTCCATTATGCATCAGGGACCGCGCGCCTCCCATGCCATCTGCCTGGGCGGCAAAGGTTGCCGACGCTATACAGCAAGCGCCGCCAGAACGATAGGGGCGCGCCCAGACAGGTTCGACGCCCGCACAGCCGGGAAAAACATCAACAGGACGACCATCGCGAATGATCTGCAGACGGCAACGCCCAAAGAGGATCATTAACTGAGATTCGCCGTTCAATGTCGGCAGCGCGCGCAGGCGCGCACGAAGGGCCAGGCCGCCGACGCGCCGCGCTTTGGCTTACGCGCCCAGTGGCAACGTTAGGAGGCGGAGGCCACTTAACGCCCAGGCGCTCTTCCAAGCTGCCCCCTCTCAGGGCCGCTGGCGCGGGCGGTTCCACGTTCTGCCGCGCGGTTTCGCCCCCACCAGTCGGATGTCTAACATGCAACGCGCAATGATGATGAGACGCTTTCCCGTAACATTGACCAGCGGAAGCCACTGGGTGCGACGGGCCCCGCCTGGTCGGACTCAACATTTTTTCGGCTTCCAGTCCCGCGCCACTTTTGCTATAACCTGTTCCACGGGGGCGCAACGAGAAGGGCCCATCCAAGCGGCGGGATCGCGACCCCTGAGGTTTGCCAAACTGCTGAGGAGTCGCCACCAGGGCAATTTTACACATGCAGGCCGTGCTAGGATGTGCGCGATCTCATTGTGCACGAACGCCTGCAGAAGCCTGCAGCAGCAAAGAATAGGCCAGCTAGCGCCCAGACCGACGGCGCACGCGCGCGCCCGATTCCTGCGCGAGCGATGCTCGCGCATTCGGCGGACGGCTCCAGTCGGGACGGCCGGGAAGCGCGCAACCTCGTCATCGCCATCATCTCGACTGTCGCCGCCCTACGGACCACGACCTGCACGTCCGCCTTCGGGCGCCGCGCGCCCTGCAGACCCGTCGGTCCAGCTTGACGACCAAGTCATTAAGACACGACCTATCGCCACGGCCGAGTTGGCTCGAACTGTCTATATAGCACCGCCGCCATGGACCACGGGTCAGAGCGGGATGCGAAGCTCGGGCGCTTGACGCCAGTGCAATGAGGGGGGCACGGGGCATCAACGCGCGGAGCAACGCCGGGCAGGGAGCACTGCTGGGCAAGTTGCCCAGGCATCGAGCGGACGGCTCGGAGAACAACCAGGCGATAGTCAACCTGCCCGCACTCCTGAACGGCGCGCGCCAGGGGCGGCGGCCCCGGAAATGCGACGCAGCGGCCCATGCACGAGAAGCCTTCGTGCCATGACTCTCCATGGGACTTCATCGTCCACAGCGACGAGGGTGTCCCAGGCAACCAGCTCTCAGGCCACGGGCAGGAGGTGCTGTGTCGCGCAGGCGTCCTTCGTCCAGTTTGGACCACTGCTGCAGGACGAGGACGCGTGGATATGCCTTGCCAGCGAGCGGTCCGCGAGCGCGAAGACGCACGGCGGCGGCAAGGTCTTCGGAGCTCTGCTCAAGATATTCAGCCCCGAGGGCCACAGCCTCCATCGGAGCGGAGTCGCTCTTACGTTCGCCGACGGCGAACCCGCGAGGCTCTTCGCGAGGTTCGCCATGACATTGCAGGGCGGCGCCGCCCACAAACAGGCCTTCAATGTTAGAGGCGACGGTGGTCTGAAAGCGCGCGCCCCCTGCAAACCCCTGCGCAATGAATAGTGGCATCGTCGGAGAAAACGGGAACAGCATTATGTCTTGAAACCTCTGCCTCGGGTCCGACATGGACCTCGCCACGGACGCCGACCTAATACGCAGCTACGAGGGGCGGGTCGAAGTCGCCAGGGCGCCACCGGGCGAGCCCAAGCTCGGAAAGATGACAGCGGGAATCAACCACAGCAGGTTCAACCTCCCGCTGCACATGGAGTTTCGGGACATCGTGAGGCCCGTGAGCTGCTTTGCTCACGACTGGATGCACGCGCTCGGTGTACACGGCGCATGGAACACCACGCTTGTTCTGTTGCTACCCGACTTGGTGGCTGCGAAGGTGAAGGACGCACCGAAGAATATCTGCGACCTTCTCGGTCAGTGGCGGCTCCCACGAAGGCTGGGCGTGAAGACTAATGCCCTCGCCGATGTATTCACTCCGACCAGGTGGAAATCGTGCACCAAATCAAGGTACGCGAAGCGTACTGCATCTAAGGCGGCATCCATGCACGGCATGATCGCGCACTTCGTGCGACAGGTGTGGCTCAAGAGGGGGCTCTGCACCAAGGCATGCGAGGCGCACCTCCACTGCTCGTCCACCTTGGACCCCCTGCAGCCCGTACCGCATGGCACTGTCAACGCGGACGAACACCGAGACCTCGTGGACAAGTTCCTGCGGGTTTGCCTGGACGCTGGCTGGAGGGACTACCTGCACCCCAAGTTCCACTGGTCCCTGTACCTGGTGATGGAACACAAGAAGTTCGATACGTCACCGGCGTGCTGGACGCACGAGGGGAAGCACAAGGATAATCAACGCGTCCTCTCGGGGGGCGAAAGTTATGCCATCGACCACGCTGTTGTCGTGCACCCTCTGTGGGCGTCCGACAACCGATGTTGATATCATAGCCATCCCAGGGTCCTCAGAGGGCGTGCGCAACACAGAGTCCACGGAGACCAGCGCCCTGCCCGAGGGCACGCGCAGGCACACTCGCGGCCCGGCGGTCTCGGAGGACAAGCTCGGCCGAAGGGTCAAGAGCTGCAGGAGCCGAAGCCCGCCAGGGACAGCACGGCAACGTGCCTCTGCGATGAACTGCAGCTCCCAGTGGCGCGGAAGGCGTCGCGCTTGACTGTGAAGTCGGCCAATCTGTCCAAGTTCAAGGTGGTTCAAACCAGTGGCGTTGCCATAATGACGCCCGAGGGAGGGCTGCCAATGCTGGGGCAAGTTTGGCTTCTGACCGAGGCGGTGCAGGAGCCGCGCTCTATGGTCACCTTTTTCACATCACTGAGGCCGACGACGATGGCATCGCACTGGCGCGCAATCTAGCGAATACATGCCTCTGCCAATTGTCAAACATTCTGGGTGCAGTGTCCTTCCCGAGAAGGTCCGACGGGCATGTGCTTGCTATCGTGCCTGTGGTGCACCGTTGGGCGTTGCGCTAGACTGCATTTTGAGGCGGGGAGTTGCTTCGAATGCGTTGTCTCAGGCAAAATTATTCACTGCGTGGAGCTCCCCATATGTGCATCTACTCGCATGGACCTGTCCGCCGTGAATGTCTAGGCGCAAGAGCTTTCGAATATTAACGGGCTTCAGTTGTGACGGTCTGGACATCAATCTAACTGCGAATGAATTGGAGTGTGAATGAGCCTCAGTAGTACGAGCGCGTCTCTGTGCATGAGCCTGGGGCCTCCTGGGGCCTCCTGAAACCTACTGGGGCTTCCTGGGGTCTCCAGGAGCCTCTTGGGACCTCCTGGGACCTCCTAGGAAGGTTTCGTGCCCCAGGGGAGGCGCAATCTATAGCAACAGACGTACATAAAACATTGCGGATTAGAGCCACAGGAGAAGGGCAATCTATAGGAACACGCGTAAAACACCAAGGACTCGTGCCCCAGGAGAGGCCCAATACATAGGAACATGAGTAAAACATTTAGGATTGTGTACACAGGAGAAGGACCATCTATAGAAACATACGTAGAACATCAAAGAATCGTGCTCCAGGTGAGGCCCAATCGATAGGAGCATACGTAAAACACATGGGATTGGAGCCACTCCTGTTGCCTTCTGAGGCCTCCTGCTCCTGGGGCCTCTCGGGGCCTCCTGTTGCCATCCGAAGCCTCCTGGCGCTTCCTGTTGTTTCCTGGGGTCTCCTGTGGTTTCCTGAGGCCTTCTGGAGCTTCCTGGGGCCTCCTGGAGCCTCTTGGGACATCCTGTGGCCTCTTGAGTCTTTCTGTGGCCTCCTGATGCCTCCTGGGACCTCATGTGGTCTCCTGGAGCCTCCTGGAGCCTGTTGGAGCCTCCTGTGGCATCCTGAGAAGAATCTGCGCCCACGAGCCTGGCCACCAAAACTAGCAAACCGCCTGAGACATCCCCACAAAATGGCCGCGAACGAGCCCGTGCAACCACCCCTGGCGGCTCCCCTTAGGGGTGCTGAAATGAGCGCCTCGCTCGAGACATCCTCCAAATCTGCTCCGAAAGCGAAGGATGTTGGGCACAGAAACAGGCAAACCGCCTGAGACATCCCCACAAAATGGCCGCGAACGAGCCCGTGCAACCACCCCTGGCGGCTCCCCTTAGGGGTGCTGAAATGAGCGCCTCGCTCGAGACATCCTCCAAATCTGCTCCGAAAGCGAAGGATGTTGGGCACAGAAACAGGCAAACCGCCTGAGACATCCCCACAAAATGGCCGCGAACGAGCCCGTGCAACCACCCCTGGCGGCTCCCCTTCGGGGTGCTGAAATGAGCGCCTCGCTCGAGACATCCTCCAAATCTGCTCCGAAAGCGAAGGATGTTGGGCACAGAAACAGGCAAACCGCCTGAGACATCCCCACAAAATGGCCGCGAACGAGCCCGTGCAACCACCCCTGGCGGCTCCCCTTAGGGGTGCTGAAATGAGCGCCTCGCTCGAGACATCCTCCAAATCTGCTCCGAAAGCGAAGGATGTTGGGCACAGAAACAGGCAAACCGCCTGAGACATCCCCACAAAATGGCCGCGAACGAGCCCGTGCAACCACCCCTGGCGGCTCCCCTTAGGGGTGCTGAGTATGAGTAAGTCTGTGTATGAGTAAGTCTGTGTATGTGTACGTCTGGGTATGACTAATACTGTGTATGAGTAAGTCTGTGTATGAGTAAGTCTGTATATGAGTATGTCTGAGTGTGAGTAAGTCTGAGTATGAGTAGGTCTGAGTATGAGTAAGTCTGAGTATGAGTAAGTCTGTGTATGAGCAAGTCTGAGTATGTCCGACAGGAGGGGAGGAGAAAAGAGGAGGAGGAAGGAGAAGGAGTAGGAGGCGTCCAAGTAATAACAAGAACCCCATCTTAGGATATGGGGAAAAACACTCACAGACACATGCATGGTTTAAGGTGCCCCTGTGGCGCTGCAGTGCTTCAGACCTGAAGGTCGACAGTCAGACCTGCGGCGAAACTCTGCCCCGAGACATGCATGAGGTCCGGTTCGAAACATCACGGCCTTTCTGACAGTGCTTCGCCAGCACACATCCGGTCACACATGTATGAGCGAGGCTCGCGTCGTCCATCTCATGGACAAAAGCCCTCAATCTGATGCGACGGATGCGCGCGCACCTGCACGGCGCTGCAAAACGGACTCCTATACGTTGTCGTTGCAGTGTAAAGCCGAAGTGTTTTGTTTAACGATGAATTGCCAAAAGTACAATGTTATCATGTTATGTTGTTTCGAAAACCGAATTATGTTGTTCCACAAACGCAATTCATAAGATCGCAAACTTAAGTTAACATAGTGATGGTCCACATCGGGACGCTGCAAAAGAAAAACTCACACATAGTTGTGCTTACTTGTGCTACTTTCATAAATAAATATGTGTGTATATGTGTATATATATATATATATTGTAAAACCTCCTAAGTTCGTTGGAGTTACAGGACAAAGCCAAAATCAGTCAAGCAGGAGGCCCCAAAAAGCGCCCAAGAGGCCTCCAAGAGGCTCCGAAGATACCCCCAAGAGGCCCCAAGAGGCCCCCCGAGGCACGTAAGACACTCCAAGTGGCTCCCGGGACCGCCAAGAGGCAGGCCCCCGAGACGCTCCAAGGGGCCTCCAAAAAGCTTCCAAAAGACATCCGCGGAGACTCTGAGAGGCAACTCGCCTGGGCATCGTGTCTGGATGGGCTGGTGGGGATACTTTTTAGTCAGCGGCCGCGGGCGAGCGCGCCGGCGGCGAGTCCAGTCAAATGCTGGTGGGGATACGCGAAGCGTCAGGAATTTGGCGGGCATGGCTTTTCAGAGGGCAGTGCAGCTTCAAACGTGGCAGGGCTGCTGCTGTGGCTCAAATCGTTGCTTCAAACGAGCCGACCTAACGCCTGCCGTTTTTAGCAGCGCGCTCTAAAGCCCGCACGACCTCATAATCATCCTTCAACGCGCTCTGCAGGAGGTGCTTCCCCTTGGCACTGAGGTAGGTTTTGTGCTGGAAGGGGTACTGACCCTTGTCATGCGGAATTTCGGCGGGTGCCGCCCACCCCAGACGCCCAAACACGTCCTTAAGGTCGTGAGAAATCGTCTCGGAACGAATCAAATACACCTCTTGTGCGAGAACGCAGTCGAGATCGTGTTCAAAATACCAGCGAAAGCCTTTCCCAACGTGCTCAGACAGTATTGGCTTCTCAAGCGCTCGGCGGGCAATGCTACCGCAATGGCTCTGGTCCTGCAACGACTCCGCAAAGTCGTTGACTTCTCGGAAGCATCGATAGAACGCCTGCTCTTGCTTATCTTGCAGGAACCCTGCCTCCCCGTGCGGCGAATCTCCGTTTAGGGGGTTCCTCCAATTGAAAGCAGATACAACACGAGCAAGCGGGTCTCGAACAGCAACAATCCACATGCGTTGCTGGTCTGCGCGGCAATTGTCGACCTGCCGAATGTGAATCTCATGGTAAGGGGTGTTCTTGTAGATGGCCATACCAATTGAGCTGCCTGCGCACTTGCCAACATGCACAAACTGCACAAAGTCCTTATGGGATCGCAATGAATCGTTATTTTGCATTTGACGGCACTCAGTAACAATACTCGCCAGTCTTCAACATGCAAGCTTTCATCGTCCCAATCGGGCCCTCCACTTTCGATATCATCACACTCGGAATACCGTTCCATTTTATCTTTGGGGTCAGAAGCATAGATGCCCATGCCGTGCTCTGCGTTCGAAACAACGTGAAAAGCGGAGGCCACACTACTGCCGCTGAATGCAAATGTTAAGCATGCGATCGCCCTCGCGAACACCATCGTGAGTGCTGAAGAAATACGGATTTCAGTATATTGCAAGTTCAGGAGAGTTCAGTATATGACGCGCTTGCTGGATCTAGCACTTGAGCCAAATTGGTTGCGGATGTTTCGCGCCTGTCTTGTCGCAACGACTGCTAGCGGAACCACGGGCGTTCTTGCCGTGTAGCCGACGCGCCCACAAGATTCGGGTGCCTGGTCAGCTTGCTGGGTTGCCAAGCTTTCATCTCGCTTCCCCTCCATTATTCCCCCCCTCCTGCACAGTGACGCGATTCCTCGCATCGTCCCCAATTGGAGCAGGGAGCGGCTAAGGATAGAGAAGGGGGGCGAAGGATAAGAGCCGGAGGGGAGCGCGAGCGGCGCACCGAGGAGCAGAAGCGGAGAGAAAGGTAGTTCTCCGGTTGATCACGCCAAGAGAAGGGCGAGGTTGATGACTAAATTAAGGCTCTGACTTTGCACACGTAACACCCCCGCGGGCCCCAACCCCCAAACGCACGACCAGAGCAGAGGAGGAGGGCGGACTGCGACGCCAAAATGGGCTCCTCCTTGCCGTCCTCGCCCTCCCGCTGCTCCCCTTTGTCCTCCTCGTCTTCCTCGTCCTCCTCCTCCTCCTCCTCCGACGACGACGACGACGACGACGCCGCCTCCTCCTCCGACGACGACGACGACGACGCCTCCTCCTCCTCCTCCTGCTCCTCCTCCTCCTCCTGCTCCTCCTCCTCCAGCTCCTCCTCTTCCTCCTCCTCTTCCTCATCCTCCTCTTGGCCGCTTGGCGCAAGGTCTTCGCTGCGCTGGGCAATCAGGTGATGAGGTCTCAGACAAGGGCGTTCCATCGATCACCGAGCTTGGAGGTGAGGGCCTGTGCCCCTGTAAGAGCGCGCCTGTGGCGCACCCCCAAACGGGGGTACCCCCTTAGGCCCTTAGCTACCCTCCCCCCCTGGACCTGCCCTGGCAGAAGCCCCCCCTCCTTTTTCTCGCCCCTCGAAGGCTGCCCCCCCTTCCTTTTCGCGCTCTGGAAGCTGCCCCTCCCTCCATTTCCAAGGGGGGCATAGGGGGGGGGGGCTTAGCTACCCACCCACCCCTTGAACCTCCCTTGCCAGAAGGCTCCGTGTTTGTTCCAGCCCCACGGAAGCTATTCCCGCTCCGGAAGCTCCCCCCCCTTCCTCCTCCCCCCTTCCTGCCTAAAGGGGGCATAGGGGAGGGGGCTTAGCTACCTACCCCCCCCTTTGGACCTCCCCTGCCGGAAATCTACCCCCCCCCCCCTCCTTTTTTTCCGCCCCCCTTTCCCAAAGGGGGGGGAAAGATTAGCTACCCCCCCCCCCTGGACCTCCCCTGCCGGTGGCCCCCGCCCCCCTCCTTTTTTCTGCTCCTCGGCAGCGACGCTCGCGGAGGCCACGAAGCGTTCTACTAGGTGGAGGAGACGCATCCAAACGCCGCCACTGGAGCCTTCGGTGGAGCTCCCTCTGGGGCCACGAAGCCCTATGCTGGGTGGGGGAAACGCATGCGGACACCGCCACTGGGGCCTTCGGTGGAGCTCCCCATGGGGCACCGAAACGCTGTACGGGGGGGGGAAACGCATGCGCACACCACCACTGGGGCCTTCGATGCAATGTCCTATGGGGCCACAAAACGTTGTACTAGGCGGGGGAAACGCTTGTGGACACCGCCACTGGGGCCTTCGGTGGAGCTCCCCATGGGGCCACGAAACGCTGTGCTGTGTGGGGGAAACAAATGCGGACACCACCACTGGGGCCTTCGGTGCAATGTCCTATGGGGCCACAAAACGTTGCACTGGGTTGGGGAAACGCTTGCGGACATCGCCATTAGGGCCTTGTGTGGAGCTCCCTATGTGGCCACGAAACGTTGTTCTGGATTGGGGAAACGCATGCGGACACCGCCTCTGGGGCCTTCGGTGGAGCTCCTTGTGGGGCCACGAAACGCTGTCTGGTAAGGGAAACGAATGTGTACACCGCCACTAGAGCCTTCGGTGGAGCTCCCTATGGGGCCACGACACGTGTGAGGGGTGTGCCGAAGTGGACAAGAGGCGGCATGTGAACGCAGTCACTGGGGCCTTGGGTTGAGTTCCCTATGTGGCCACGGCACGTATGAGGGGTGTGCCAAAGTAAGCAAGTAGCGGCATGTGAACACAGCCACTGGGGCCTTGGATGGAGCTCCCTATGGGGCCGCGACACGTGTGAGGAGTGTGCTAAAGTGGACAGGAGGCGGCATGTGAACGCAGCCACTGGGGCCTTCCGTGGAGCTCCTTATGGGGCCACGACACGTGTAAGCGGTGTGCCAAAGTGGACAGGTGGCAGTGTGTGAACGCAGACACTGGGGCCTTGAGAGGAGCCCCCTATGGGGCCACGAAACGTGTGAGGAATGTGCCAAAATGGACAGTTGGTGGCATGTGAACGCAGCCACTGGAGCCTTCCGTGGAGCTCCCTATGGGGCCACGACACGTGTGAGCGGTGTGCCAAAGTGGACAGGTGGCAGCATGCGAACGCAGCCACTGGAGCCTTCGGTGGAGCTCCCCTCAGGGCCACGAAACGTGTGAGGGGTGTACCACAGTGAAGGGGGTGACGGGAGGAGGGAGGATGGAGAGGAGAGGAGGGGAGGAGGAGGCGGAGGAGAACGCGGAGCACCGTCTCTTCAAAACGAAGACCCAACACCGCAGGATGGCTTGGGAAACAACAGTTTTGAAGCCCCCCCTTTGGCAAACCAAAATCAACTTCGAAAGGAAGGGGGGTAGTTTCCGAAGCCCCCCCTCCTTGGAAAGGGAAGCCCGGGCTAACCTTGGGCTCTGGAAAAAGAGGGAGGGGGGTAGTTTTGAAGCCAACCCCCGCTTGGCACGGCAATCTCAGCTGCGAAAGGGAAGGGAGGAGTTAGCTTCCGAAGCCCCCCCCCCACTTTGAAAGGTAAGCTCGGGCTGGCCTTGGGCTCCGGAAAATGGAGGGGGGGTAGCTTTGAAGCCCCCCCCCCTGGGCACGGCAATCTCAGCTGCGAAAAAAAAATGAGGGGGGGTAGCTTCCGAAGCCCCCCCCCTTTGAGAGGGGAGCCTGGGCTGACCTTCGGCCCCGAAAAAGAAGGGTGGGGGGGTAGCTTCCAAGCCCCCACCCCTTTCGCCAGGGCCCCCCCTGGCCCCGAGATGTCCACCAAAGGGAGAGGGGGTAGCCTCGGAAGCACCCCCTTCTTTCACAAGGGAGGGGGGATACTCCAGATTTCGTAATAAAAGGGAGGGGGTCTGGACCCTCCAAGACAAGCCATTTCAGACCTCCCCCGTGGGAGAACCCTCCAAAACATCGTCCCCAGACCCCCCAGGCCCTCCAAGATAGCCTGGAAGAGACCCCCCCCCGAAATGAGGCCCCCCTCCCTTTATTACGAAATCTGGAGTAGCTTGAAGCCGGGACCCCCTCTGTGATGAGAAGGGCGCCACGTGCTCCCCCTCTGTCGTTTGCCCCCCCCCCCCCCGGGGGGCCCCGTGGGGTGCCGTCGTCGCTCCCCCCTCCGACCACTGGGGCGCCATCGACGAGATCTCCCGCGGGAGGGGGAGGGAAGAGAGGACGGCCGTGAACGAGGAGAGAAAAGAAGGAGGACGACGAGGAGGGCCCGAGCGGGCGAGAAAGGGGAGGAGGACGAGGGGGGGAGAGGAGCGGGAGGACGAGGAGATCGCCGCCGCCGGGATTCGGGCCGAGGGCAGCTTGGGCGTCTTGCTCCAATCCCCCCTCCGCCCCCTGGACCTGGCTGACCCTCGCTTGTCCTTGCCAGGCGAGTTCGGGATCGGAGAGGCGCTTTCAAAGAGATACCGTCCCCGCCAAGGCCTAGGAGTCGGAGGTGGATGAGCGGTAGGAGTAGCAAGCAGAAACACTACGAGTAGGAGCAGGAGGGAGCAGGAGGCACAGGAGGGGCGCAACTGTTCATGAAGGAAGTGCCGAGAGGGAGAGGCCCCCAGCCGCGCTGATGACTGACGTCGCGACTAGGCTGTGACGCAGTAGGAGTAGCAGGAGTAGGGGGCGCAGCGTGCGGAGGAGCATGAGGTGGAGAACTGGGAGACCACAACATGATTTCAGAAGAGGGGGTCTGCCGACCAGCCATAACTGGGGGAGCAGTGGTCCTTACCCCCCTGCGGGAACCCATCGCGTCGACGATCTCTCGAGAGGGGTGTCGAAATCGATGGGTCCCCCAGGGGGGTAAGGACCACAGCTCCCACAGTTGTGGCTGGCCTGGTCTGGGTAGCATCTTTGAGGCGAACGGAATGGCAATACGAATGGCAGCTCGGACATGAACCCTTTTGGGTGAACAACTGATTCCGTCTACGCGTTTTACGAGGTGCACGATCAACAACTCGGAGTCCAGCCTCAGACAGGGAAATGTCGGGGCTTTCCAGGATAGATGAGATTGCCAAGGAGAGCCGAAGCTTTTCTTTGTTTATGTGCTTGTAGTAAGTCTGCGAGTATCCACTCGGATGACAACCCCTCAGGGGGAACCATCAGGGGCCCTAGGGGGGACTGGACGGAAAGCAGCAGGTCCCCTTGACGTGTGGCTTGCAGGATATGCTTGTAGTCGACGGAATTCACCTCTTAATTGTTAACCTTTGAAGGCCTGCTGGATTTTTGTTGGCACATTGTGCCGACGGCCGCTACGATTCAACCACTCACCCAGCTCGGTGGGCATCCTTAAGGGTGATTTTCTAGATGTGAGTTGCGAGGGTGTGCGAGTGACCATCGGATCCCGCCAGCGAAGAGCGGGATAGCCACTTTACGTGTGCTT